GAGGTGAGAGATGAGGGGAGTGGGGTAGGATGGGAGACAGGAAAAGACTGGCCATTAGAAGGGAGCAGGTGGAGGTGACTGCAGGGAGAAGTAGGGGTTGGAGTGTAAGGACTGGGTAAGGATTAGGGAGTGAGATGTGGGTGTGGTCTGGGAAGGGTCTAGGGTGATATAGTAAAAGACTAGGATGGCTGTGAGGTCACTGGTATGTGGATGGGGGTGTTGCGTGTGGGTCAAAATTTGGGAGGAATATGGGGATTGGGAGTGGGGGTGGGTCAGGATGGGGGTGGGGGTGTCTGGAGAGGGGTGGGAAGCATGAGACCACTTTCCCACTCCCATGTTTCATCCACTATATGCTTGTCCGAGCTCCACATGTTGCCTCTTCTCTGTCCCAGGCCCTTCCCAGAAGCCCCACACTCACGTAGGTGGGCAATGGGCATCTGTGGATTGGGAGGCCTCTTCTCAGGGGCGGCTTTGCCATGGTTCCCAGGAGGCAGCTTCTTGACTGTATCCCCCTTCCTCCACCCCCAAACTCGGACCAGAGCACCCTCTCTGCCCGTAAGAAGCCTGGGTCAGGGAGGCTGACTGTGGGGCACTGCTCCCGGACTGCCAGCTGGAGTGACAATAGAGACCACATGCCGACCTGGGGCTCCTGCCCTTTGCCCAATGCCCTGAACTTCCTGCTCGCAGCACCAGCATTAGCTTGGGAGCCCTGCTTGGCAGGAAAGCTGTGGCAGGTGGGAGGAGAGAGGAAGGCAGAGAGGCAGAAACAGCTGCCAGCCAGAGTGGAGGAAGAGCAGGGCTCCAGCAGGTCTGGGTAGAAGACGAATGCTGGCTCTGTCAGTCCCCTCCCCTGTGTGTGGGTGTCAGGCCTCCTTCCCTAGTCTTTCCCTTCTAATGCTTTTGTTCGGGGAGCAGGCTCTGCTCATGGGCCTCAACTCAGAGCTGCTTGAGACCTCAGAGGTAGGCTGGTCCCACTTGCCCTATAATCAGGAGTCAGAGTCATCTCCATAGCATTTCCTCCAGGGGTCTGCCTGAATCAGGCCAGACCCTTCCCCTGGGAGTAGGAACTCATCTCCTCTTAAGGCCCTCTTGTTTCCTCTTTGGAAGGAAACAACTGTTAACTAAGCAACTCTGATATGCCAGGCCTAGGGACTGTGTAGACTTCTCATTAATAATGAGCTAGTAGGGCCATTCTGATGATTTAGTTCCATTTTACAGATGAAAAAAGTGAGGCTGAGGGAGCTGAAGTCCCTAGCTCAAGGTCACGCAGGTAATAAATCAAAGAGTTGGGTTTGAACCCGGGACTTTCTAACAACGAAGTCCCTCTGGGGCTAAGCAGCAGGACATGCCTCTCCTTTCGCTCCCTGACAACTCTTCTGAAGTCTGAAGTCACAGACCACATCCTCCTGAGTCTCCTGTTCTCCAGGTGAAACAGTTTCTTCGACTCTGTCTGGGAGAACTTGGGTTCTAGCCTCCTCCTAACCTGCTCAGTGTGAGACTCAGAACCAAACACACAATCTACCCAGTGGGTGTGGGCTAGTCCAGAAGAGAACAGAACTAGCATATCCCTCCTTGGCACTAACCTTTAGTGATGCGGCCATTATGGCTGGTGAGAGGGCTGAGAAATGGCCTTCTCTTGGGCTTCTATCCCCTCTCGGATCAGAGCTATGAGAGAAGGGGCCAGGGTTTGGTCCCCATCTTCACTACTGTCCCCAGTCGGATTATCCTGAATTTAGAGAAGGGAACTGGCAGAGATGGAGGGAGAGGTGATCAAAACCAGGCAGGGCCTGGTGGGGCTCGGAGATGGAGCGGGTTGGGGGAGTGAACTGGTGGTCCAGTAATGGTAGGCAGGTCAGGAGAGCCAAGCAAGGGCTTTTGGTGGGGTATGCGTGAGGCAGGTAAGGGAGGGGTGGAGCATGGCCCCACAGGTTGGGAGAGGCCAGAGTGGGGATGGGCATCGGCCTGCCTAAGTTATCGCCCTGCTGTGCGAGAGGAAGTCAGTCGCACATTAAGGAAATGTCGCAGCTGGTACTAAATTGGGAGGTGTCACAGGCAGCAGTGAGGACAGGTATGATGTGTGGGGCCCTGTGTGGTCCAAAACAGGGGCAGATATTGCAAAAGGAGAGAACAGGGTTTCTAGAGTTGCCCAGGGAAGATCGAGCCAAAACAGTCAGGACAGGACCCCCGGGGATGGGAGGCACCTGGTCCGGAATCAGGGGCTCCGGGTCTGGTTTCCAGCGGCGGAGGAAGCCTCCTCACCCTGACCTGGGGCTGAGAGCCCTCCGCCCAAGAGAAGCTTTGAAGATGGGGCATTATCTCCCAGGGATCCCATCTGGGGCAGGGGCTGGACAGGAGGGCCTGGAGCTTGGGTGAAAGGCTCAGGCATCTGCAGAAAAGGCCTGGGATAGAGGAGGGGTGCTGGGGTGAAGAGAGAGGGGCTGCAGGAAGGAGGGAAACAGGGCTGTCGTTTCCCTCAGTGCCCAGAATATAGCCGGAATCGAGAGGCCTGGGGGTGTAGGCCTCGGTGGAGGGGGAGTGCACTGGGGAGGGTGGGAAAGACAGGAAGAAAGCTGTAGAGTTGGCACTGCCCTTCTCCTGGCACAGCAGGCAGCAAGAGAGCAGGCAGAGTTCACTGGAGAGGGAGAGAGAGCGCAGGAGCACGACAGCCACAAGGAGACAAAGGCGAGGAGGGAGGGCACCAGCCATCAGGAACCTGATGAGAGGCCACGGCAAAAGCATGGGCTTAGCACCCACATCATGTGGGTCAGAGGCCTGGCGCTCCTGCTCAAGTGACCTTTGGGCAAACTGCTTGCGCCCCTGCACCTCAGTTTCCCCATCTGTAAAATGGGGATAACAGTGCTGGTATTATCAGCCTCCCTGGGCAAACATGATCTCAAAATATATGTGAGAGAGACTGAAAACCCTAAGCATTACATCTATGTCAGGTGTTGTTATTGCAAACTACTCTCAGCTACCTCTTCCCACTTCAGTCTCACGAAAGACTTGGGATATGGGCAGAGTAAGGATTATTATCCTTGTTTTACAAATGAGGTAACAAAAGCCTTGAGAAGTGAAGTGACATGCCCAAGGTCACACTACTAACAAGTGGTAGAGATGATAAGGCATCCTGAATCCAAGAGATCGGTTGTCTTCCTCCTACATCAGACTGCTTGGCAAAAATAATCAACATGAGGGATTATTGTTTAGCGCGAGGTCAGACAGAGCTCAAAGCCAACTATAACCTGGAGAAAACCCCATGGGAAAGTTGTGGTGTGGTCTCTCATTCATCCTGGCGACTGTGGGAAAAAAAAACCGGGGCCATGGGGTTGGAGGAAAGGCCACAAAAGACAGACATCCTTTTCTGTCTGCAAGTGGACCACATCCCTCTGCTCATGCTGTGTTTGTATCTGTGGCTGACATTAAGAGTGTGTGTCTCTATTTCTATATGACAAAATGTGTCCTTTCTCATGTGACAGCACTTCTGCCTGTGTGTCTCTGACATCCTGGGGAGATGTGCGTGTGTATGACACCGTGTCTGCTTCTGTGGCACTGTCTGGGGGTGTGACGACCTCTCTGTATCTCTGTGTGACTTTGCCCAGGATGGTGGTGGTGGTGTTTGGCAGTATGTGTGTGTCTATCTGTCTGTACACCTTTAAGAAGTGGAATATCTCATTTCGTAGTGTGAGTGAGGCAGTGAGTCAGCTGAGGCTGAGGGAGGCGGGAGGGAGACTGCTAGGTTACGAGAACAGGAAAAAGGAGAACAAGAAAGTGAAGTCAGGATCAAGGAGCTACCCCTTTCCTCCCCAGTCCCCTGCCCAAATCCCTAAGGAGCCTACCAAGAGAGTGGAATCCTGCAGAAGTCCACAGGGGTCGAGTTGGATGGAAAGGGGGGCACCTTCTGCCCCTCCCCAAAGCCTCAGAGGGAGACAAGCTAGGCTAGGAGGCAACTGTCTCCCTCTCCAGTTCTCAGACCCCAGCTCAAGGATGGGTGAGGCCAGCACCTGACCTGGTCTCCTCTTCACTTGACCCTTTGACCTTGCTGTTCTTTCCTCTCAGAGGCAGGGTACCTGGCCAGGCTGATCCAATAGGGCAGGAGCACCGCATCCCAAATGCTTACAGCCCCCACACATCTACTGTCAAAGAGTGACCCTGCTGAGGGTCAAGAGGTTTCAACACTCCACTCTGCCCTAGGCAGGCCCAATCTGCAGCAGCCTCGCCTCTCCTCTGAATGCCCGTTCCCAGCAGCCAGAAAGCCAGCTTTCCCTCCATTGCCACCCCGGGGCACTGGGAAGGTGCTAGGAAGGCACTGGGACTTTGGTAATACACCAGCCTTTGGTGGCCCTCCCGAAAGCTGCTGTGCCCTGTTCCCAGCCCCTTCTCTTGTCAGGGGAGAGGAGCTGGCAGGTTTCCTCCTTGGGAGAAAACAGGCACCCCATGGCGCTACCTGCCTCGGTTCTGACCTCAGGCTCATATAAGGTCTGGCTACTTCAGGTCATATAAGGTCAACGGCGTGCTGTACCCCGCCACCAGGAGTGTCCACTGGCAGGGGCTAAAGGGTGATGAGGGTTAAGCCACCCGCCCCACCCCCCACCGGCCTTCGGCCTTTCTGCTGCACCAGCCAGTCCCAGGACTTTTCATTCCAGCTCAGGAAGGAGAGGGGCACCGCTGGCTGAGGATGGGGGCTGGGCGAGCCAGAGCCTCTTTCCATCCCTTTTCCTGATAGGGGCCCCGGGACCCCTCCCTCCTCATGTGGGAGCGTGGCGCCAGGAAGCACCAGTTCTACAGTGCCCAAACCCAGAATTAATAGAAGTTGGCCAGGTGGTCACCTGACCTTAATCCCTGAGGCCCCTTCTCTGGGGAGGGGCCCAACGTAGCTGAGAACAGTGGGGGTGATGAGGAGTGGTGGGGTGGGCAGAGGGGGAAACCTTTTTTCTCCCGGTCCCACGGCCACCGTTCCCGCCGCAGACGCAGCCACTGTGGCCGCGGACGCCAGTCCCTACCTTACAGCCTTTCGTGCAGGACCGGATTGAGTACTCTTCTGCCTGTAAGTATTTATGTAGCACGAGGTCGAACTCGTCATATTTTTCCTGAGCATGTCGGTCGAGCCGCTGATACGCCTCGATACAGTTGCTACACACCTCCCAGGCCCCGGAGCCCGGGCTAGCCACCACGGCCAGCAGGTCCCCCAGCAGGGTGTCCAGGCTGCAGTCCAGGCTGTCGGGGCGGTCCATGCCCAGCAGCAAGTCCCAGACTGTGTAGGTGTCGCAAAAGGAAAGAGTGAAGTTCCGAAAGTGGCCTTTGAGCAAGTTTTTTTTGGCGGAGGGGAACTCGGCCGGGGCACGGATAGGGGCGCCGGGGGGCCGCAGAGGGGGCGCCGGTGTGGTTGGTTCGAAAAGTCTCTGCAAAGATTGCAATTTGGTGCAAGCTGCATCCAGCCCTGTGGGTTCTGGGACGCCGCCGCAGTC